TTACTGAGAGTGCACTCGATCCCCTCGTGCAGGTCATTGATAAAGATATTAAAGAGAACCAGCCCCAGTACTTAGCCCTGTGGAACACCACTTGTGACCAGCCACCAACTGGATTTAGCTCCATTCACCATCACTCTCTGGGCCCAGCCATCCAGCCAGTTACACAGCAGCCATGCCTCGCAGCAACTTACTAGTGCAAATTAAGGCAGACTCAGGGCAACTTCTCTTTGCTGACACCATACTTGTCCAGGGCCATTGGTGTCAGCAATAACAGAAAGCGTAAAACAGAAATGCACACACCAGAGGCAGCTGATGCTATGGTGAAGAGTGCTGGCAGCTGCTGTCATGGCCCTGTAACCAGCAGCGGTGGCATCAGGAGAGCTTTTTGAAGAGCTTCCTGTTGTAAGCAGATCCTGAGGTAACAACGTAGGATCTCTAGCACCTGGTCGAGTTCTGTATTTTTTCATCCCGCCACAAGAGAAGCAGACACATCTGCTAATTGTCCTTTCAACACCTGCCTGTAATGAGCATTCCAGGGCCAGGGATATAATGAAAGCCACAAGAACAGACACAGAAGTGACAAAAAAACTAAGTTCAAGAAAAGTAAAGAAGAAAGGAAACCAAGAAACAACATTTTCCTCCTTATTTTTATGCTCTTTTCCCACCCTCCACTTCTCCAAAGCAGTGTGGGGCACAAAGACACTAAGGTGAGCTACAGACATTCATCATTGCCCATGGAAACCTTATCACTCCTTCTCCTTCCCAAACCTTTAACTATTTCCTCCTGCTAATAGCACAGCCCAACCATTTTTCCCCCCAACATTAAGCTCAAGTTAACTGAGGACACAATTTCTTGTTAAGCAGATGGTCCATGAAATGAGACATTTGCAGTTTTGTGAGCATCAGCACAGACCACTCGACCACCAGAACTCAGGACTGCAGCAGTACTGCACTGGCCATGCTGGTCTGCTCTCTGCCAGTCCCATGGACTGCTACATGCAAAGCCTTCTGAAATGCTGCTAACGTGTTCTTGTCAACAAAGAGGGCAATTGAAGAAGGGTCCCTTTGGTAGATCATACAAGTTCCCTCCTTTTAGGAAGACATAGCCCAGCCACTCAGTCTAAGAGCTGATGGTATGCAAGGTCAAAATGCCACAACCTAATCTTCAAGGCAGAATCTGCCCAGCTGAAGGTATATAAACAACACAGTCCCCAGCTGGAATCCTACTGTGTGCAAAAACCTCCAGTGGTGGCCAGCCATGAGTCGGGGGGTGAATTCACACCTCCCGACTGCTAGTACAGGAGATACCCTGAGGGTGAAGGAGGAAAGCCTTGAGTACCAGCACTGGTCTAACAGCTGGCTACTCAGCTGAAAACCGACACTTTGTAGAGGAAAACATAGGAAGGTGATGAAAAACCCTTCTTACTCATGAGCAAGCCTGAGTCCTACAAGATCTGGAGACCTTGCAAAGCTCAAGTGATCCTTCCTGGGTAACTGGTTAAAGTGGCACTTGGCAGAGGAACAATCCATGCTCAAAGAGGTGAGGAGTCAGACCTGGTCATCTGCCTTTCCCTCCTCCTAGCTTTATTCTGGGCAAGAGGGAGGAGGAGGTAGAGATGGAAGAGAACAGCCTAAATCCATGACTTTCATGAATCTCCATTGCCCTCCAGCCACAGGGACAAATGCAGATCCCAGGGTGCCCTTCCTTGCCCAGACAGCAGCCCTGTGGAAGCACAGGAGCAATGCTTGCTCCCCGCCAGAAGCACCTGACAAGTACTTCAGGATGACCAGTAAGGGCAGTGCTGTCCAGCCTTCCTCAGAAAAAGCCAGTGCAAATACCTCCCTTGAAACTCAGCAGGAGGATGCTTTCTGTATGCATTTTTCTTAGCAGGTACAACAGGTTGAATGCTGTGATTTTAAAGCCAAATGCATTCTCCCTTCTGTATCTTACCCTGCACAGCTAGATTTTGCAATTTATTGAAATACAAACTTTTCAAGCCAAAGAATTTGGTGGTTTATTTCACTTCCTTTTTTAAGGATGCTAATACTTGTAGCTTTAGTGCTATTCACCTTGCATTTAAATTTCTGAATGATTTTATTATTCATTAAAAATTGAATCCACGTAGAAGACTGAGACAGAATACTAACAATCACTCGACCCAGAATGCATTTTAAAATCATCCTTAGGACAATTATTTAGAGAAGTTTCCCTGAAACATTGATCCATTTGAAATCTGACAACTTCTGTGCTCCTTCTGGAGCATTAAACTCCATACAGTTACTTTTAACTCACAATGCTATACAGTACCTGCATTTCTGAACTTCCAAGACAAAGTCTGCTTGCTTTGTTTCTTGTCCCAGGAGCAAGGAAAACAAGCTGATGCAACTTTTGTTACACCTGCCTACTGCCACAATGCAAGTCAGATGACATTCAGCAGG